GACGTCGGCGTAAAACGGCATGCAAATTCAGGGCAGGATCTCTAACAGAAGGGGAAGTATATGATCTGTACTGTGCCCATGTCAGATGCAGACAATCGCTCACTGCAGCACGGATGCTTGATAAAGACGCAGCCAGGACAGCTGTATTGATCACAAGTGCAAAACTATTCAGGCTTCGGGATCATACCAGCGCTTGTTCTGTCTGCGCGTATGCTTCATGGAATGCGAGCGTATCTCTCTCGAACTGAAAAGATGCCATTCCCCCCTCATCAAGAGCAAAATTATGTAAAAGACATTACAGACCTTTTTTAAGGTCTATAATAAAAAATTAAAAAAAAAAACTCAAACTAGTGATACAATGCACATAAATTACTGTGTCCCCAAGTATCACAGACTCTGGATATATTCCATGGAAATACTGCACGCCCCCCTACAAAATACTCTGAAACGTAATAAGCCATGAGATTTGAGGTTCTACTACACAGCAGGCCTGGATTTTCTCATCTACAGCGCACTGGCTATTGGCAGTCCTGAGAGTTAGGCTACCTGTTCTACGGGGGAAGAGGAAGAATGAGTATCTCGCTTCAGAAGTACTTTTGCAGTGGTTTGATAAACTGAAAAAAGAAATTAAAAAAAAAAAAAAATTGAAAAACCCAAGCCTGTTTGTGAATGCTAACAACAATCGTTTAGAAAATCTTTTTGTAAAAAAAAATTCAGGTGAGATAATACCAGTGGGAAAGTCAATGTCATTTGATCACTGCCATATTTTCAAAGCAGTGCCCAGATACTAATTAATCTCTACAATCTCTTCGTTTGGTAGGTGACTTGTTATCTTCCTTTCATGGAAAAGGTTACAAGAACTCAAGATAAGGGGTACATCTAAATGTTCAAAAGCACACAGTGAGTTTGTTCCACAATTATGAAAAGAGTTTCCAGCCTTTTCTTAGGCTGATAGCCCATGTTACTCTCGTCTCCCTCATAAAAGCTTATCTAACCATATATACACACAGAGAGTGAGAGAGATGATAATTCGACAGGGACAAAACAAAATAAACCCTTATTAATAACAGTATAAATATGGTCTGTAGCATTTCAGTTATTTTAACTGTGGAAGTAATAAGAGACTTCGACACTAAAAACCAAAACAGAGTAAAACTGTGAAAATGAAGTATGAAAATGCTAGGACTAAGGCTGAGTAGAGAGATGGAAGGACTAACATTAAATAAATAAATGCAACAGGCCTGCCTCCCTGATCACTTTAGAGCAGCTCCCAACAGACTGAGGTAGAATAGAGCTTCTGCGCAAGAGGCTGGAAATAAGAACTGATGGTAGAACAATTTCTTTACAACCCTTTGGAGACTAAAGAGCCAGAACAGGAGGGAAATGAAATCTAGGCCACTCACGAGATGCACCAATTTAATGGAATGCACGAGATGGCCCAAAATTGAGCCCTAGATTAAATTCCAAGTTGCCTTCCCCATCCAAAGAGGTCTGGAGAGGAAGCAGAAATGGTATCGCGTATCAAACGCAAGAAGTCCTTCACCCAGCATCTGCGTATGCTGCTATGCTCTAGCAATAAAATCTGCAAACCCAAGGTAAAGCATGAAAATACACACTGCAGTGCATAATTCAGAACAGGCTTGGCTTTTCCATGCAAAATTTGCAGCGATCTTTTACTTTGCCTGCTTGATACCAAAAATTTGAGACTAAACTCCTGGACGGCTGCTTGTGATTCCATGGCATTTCAGAGCCATAGATTTGCTCCAGTCCATCCCAAAGACATCCCAAAGTCATGTCAATGGGGATTCCCAGCGATATGGGCTCATACAGCAAGTGATGAACCTGGCCTCCAGGGGTGGCCACAGCAATCCCAGAGTGAGACAATTACAGTAGATTCAAAAGATTGTATTTTGAACAATTAAATGTTGTTTAAACTCCCCTAATGAGAGCAAGAGTAACAATGGTATTCTATTGAGGAAGGCACGAAGAGTTCATACCTGTACACCTCCAGGTTTTAGTTGGACAAGAAAGCAAATGGCAAAAAAAAAAAAAAAAATTTAAATGGAAAAAAAAAAGAAAACCCACTCAAGTAAATGATGCCTTTACATTTTCAAGACTCCATAATTAAGACAAACTGGATCTAGAAGTTTGTTTGCTCATGTGTTTTCAAGCTATTAAATATATCTGCACTATAAAAATAGTTTGCTTGGGGTTTTTTGCAGTACATAGAATGTCAATGTTCTGAACAAATACGAGCAATTTTTTAATACAGAAAATGCAAGATTAATTAAGAAAATACAGTAAATGGTGAGGAGGATGATTCTCAGTTTTCCATGCTTAAATGGGTCTTTGGAGATGCCACGCATCGAGCACACACAACTTAAATACTTTACAACAAATCCTTCTATACCTACACAAAACAGAGCGCTGTTAATGACAGTGACAGAAAACGATAACTACTCTCGTTTCCACTTTGAGTCATTTTTCTGTGGTTAATAAATTATATCCATAACAGTGTTAATAAGTTATGGTACGGTGTCACTGCATTAGTTTGCATTTGTGATGAAGGACTTCATATGGCATTACCCATGCCCGTGGAAGTACGTAACAGGAGAGACCACCTCTCTGCTCTCAGAAGAGTCTCCCATGCTGGCATTTGGATGGACCCTCTAAGGAAACGTTGCCTCCTGACCTCTGCCTTGCTCTTACTTCTCACCTCTGTTGCAGCAGCACAACACTGCGGGGCAATTCTCCAAATTTAATGTTTAACGAAACACAGACACTCTTAAATCAGTGTCCTTTCCATCGGAGCAATATACAATGAGATATTAGTCAGGCAAATACAGGAAGCATTTGGATCAATTTAGTCATGTGAAAAGGACACCGTCAGATCAACGCGTCCTCCCTCCAGTTCCTGAAGAGAAATGGCAAGGTTTAGACTGACGGATGGGCTCTCGATCAACCACCGTTAACAGCTTGTTTTTCCAAAAGTTCAGAATAAACAAACTTATTTTAAGCTTAATGTGATTTCGTCTTTGAAGAAAAAAGGAAAGCAGAAGCTATTTAAATTCTTGCAACCCAACTACTGCAGCGCTGGTGAAGATAGAGATGACAAAAGTAATAAGCATGCTAATAAAGAAGCTCACAGCTTTAAGTATGTTCTTTGACAAATACCGAGGTGCAAAACAGTAAACAAACATCCCCAAATCCGAGTTCTGTAATCTAGGGTTTTGGTCACCTCAAGTGCTAACTTCAAGAGCTGTTACTAGGCAAGACATTTTCTGTCCATTAAAATTATTATATAAAAATTCAGCATAGTTTAAAAACAACTTTTCCAGAGTGTAATTATTGAATTGTTTCCAGTACCATGATACTATCTCTAGTGAAGCATTCCTTTTAGAAACTTTTTTTGTGCTTTATCATTGCATCATGCACATATATACAGAAGCTGCTATCTGAAGCACGACGTCCAAATAGAAATGAAATCTTCCATCTCAACAGAACTTACTTGCTTTCCATCACTATCAAGTAAAAATTAGCACTATTAGATTAAAATGGAGAAAATTATCTGCAGCCTCCATAAGCCAGCAGTGCCAAAGCTCACATGCTTTTATAGTAGGTAAATACAAGATAACTTTGCAGACATATTACTGGAATAGTTTGCAACCAGTGAAGATAATTTTGATTATTTCCACTTCAAAACTTCCTATAGTGGAGCCACATCACTGAAAACAATCTAACCAGAAGGGAAAAAAAGTGATGGGAAAACACCCTGCTGATATTATCCACTGAAAAGAGAGACAGAGAAAGAAAGTAGTCCTCTACAGATTGACTAAAGTCTTTCAGAGACAAAGACTCCGATATTCTGAGCAACAGAAATAAAATCCCCATAACAATACCTCGAATTCCTTAATTTCCTTTTTCCCCTCCCTACCACAACTAGCATCATGTATTTGTATGCTGAATTTGTCTCCACTGCCCCACAGCAAAATACATTTTAAAATGTAAAAAGTAAAAAGAAGTATGATGTTCCCATCACAGCATCATTGGATGCCGTACTGCTTAGAAGAGTAAGTTGTGCCTTCACAGTAATTTGATGAAAGAATGACAAAAAGAATGGCAAAAAAAAGAACAATACCACTAAGGGTTGAGGAATGCACAGTTCAATATTTAGCAATGCATAAATTCAGGTTTCATCTTTGTTTAGGTATATTTTGATTAGAGCTAATAAATGGCTGATTTTCCTTTGGTTGTTTGCAACAACAACACATCATCCGAAGAGCTTTATTCTTTCTTCCGTTCTCATATAGCATGCCAAAGACTGTCTCATTTTATGAATTAGCATTTAAAACTACCGTAGGTTATCTAACAAGCATTCAGATTCAATAGTACTTTTGACAGCAGTAAGTAAAGAGCCTTTTAACATCTTGAACACACGTGCTTGAAAAAAGTAGTTACATCAAAGCAGTTCAAAGACTGAAGACAAAAACCAGTTAAAATCCAGTTTGCTGTGAGACAATTTTACTGTGGTGTAAACAACCTTTCACGACTCCCCATGGGAAGCGTTGTAAGACTATGTTAAAATGAATCAGGCATATTTATAAAGATCATGAAGTGGTCAAATGAATTTGCATTTTTGGCAGATTCACTCCACGGGTACTACTTGCTACAGTCTGTAGAAATCTCAAATCTCACATCAGCGTTGCCTATAGTGCTTTATTATTTATTACATGTTATGCTAAGTACCTGTGAAAGGGGACATTCCTTGGCCAATGAACTCTGGTTCATATCCTTCAGTAAGTCCTTCAGAGCATTTCTTACTGTTGTGTGAGACCATTGTTCAGGAGGCAAGTCTTCTAGTTTAGGGCAACTATTTGAAACACAGATTAGAAAAGGGATTATTACAAGATTGCATCCTGCTGCAGAACATTCCTTTAAGACAGACAGATTTCATTTTGCGCATCAAGCAGATGCATCTGGAGATTGCTCTCGGTCTCCTGATTGTTCCGATTAGTTAATTACTTTATACAACACATCTGCTGTATTGATGCATGAATTATACATCAGCTGCATGTGGCGACTATTTTTTCATGTTACTTCTACCTTCCTGCTCTGATGCGCTTGGTAAAACAATTTAAGGTGTAATGCTTTCTCACGACTGATCATGAAAAGCATTAATATATTAACCGTTTTTTCCTTTTTTGTTACCGTGAATTTAAGAACCTAGACAGCAACAATAAGTGTGAGCAAGTCATTCTTTTACAAAATGCACACAGATGGTACTGTTCATGATATGCAAAAATATTTTTCTCTTAAGTAAACTTTATGTAAAATGCCTTCTTGTAATGCATCATTTAATTGACTAAAATGCAATATAGTTTTAATGAGATATCCAAAGAAAATCTATGTATCAGAGCTATAAAAGTTTTCTGCAATAGTATACCGTAAGTTAAAGAAGAATTGGAGTAACTAAAAAGGAATTTAGATAAGCCTTTGTACTCTGAGCACACAGCACAGTGGGAATTAAATACAAGCAATATTAATAGTAAGAGCAGTCAAGTAACAGTTCACATCCCAGAACTGGTATGCAACTTACCTGTGTAACTGGATTTTCAGTGTGACCACATGATACACGTCTTGCAGCATGTCTGCTACTGTAGCATCAGGGGCATCTGTCACATAGGAGAGTGGAACTGGATTCCACTTCCCAACCTGGATAAGCCCTATGGGATTTTTATTTTTGGAGGTAGGTGGGGAAGAAGGGAGGAAAAATTGAAAAAAGTAATTTACCTGTTAATTCCTACGGGCAAGGAAAATATCTGATTTTAACAAGATCACCACCTTTGTCTGTAACCTCCTAAATCTGGCAAAGCACAAGAACCCCCCCC